TTATGTTTTAGAAAGAACGAAACAACAAGTGCCACCATTAACAACAATAGCCAATACAACAACACCCGGCATTTCGTATGCTAAAGCCGCAAAGCAGCAAGTGGAGACCGTTCTCGTTGAAAATTCTCAGCGACCTACCACCACAAGCTACTTACAACAGCTCTACGGCCTGATGATGCAACTGATGGGAAGGTTAGATCCATGTTCTTCCTCATCACGGAGCTCGTGAAAATGCTGAAACGACTAACTATCTATGATGATCGCAGGCTGGAATCCTAACGGCCTAGTCCAGCATGCCCACGAGGTGGTATGGTTTAAAAGTCACTGCAACCAACATAGACGTACTCTTGGTGTCTGAAACACGATTTAACAACAAAAGTTACATTGACATACCAGGTTACAGCACATACACAACAAACCACACTGATGGCAAAGCACATGCAGGAACAGCCTTAATAATTAAAAAAGGAATTAAGTACTACCTAATACCAAACTACCAGCTAGACTACCTGCATGCGGCAAGTGTAGTTATAGAGAACTGGAGAGGCCCAATTACAATATCGGGGATCTGTTGTCCTCTAAAGCACAATAATAAAACGGAACAATATACAAACTTTTTTGAGACTTTGACTTTAACGCCAAGCACACGAACTGGGGCTGCAGGCTAACCACAACAAAGGGTCGAGAGCTTTGGAGGGCCAAGGGAACAGCCAAGGGAATTACAACAAGTATCTCACAACAGACTCGAGCCTAGATCTCTCCTCGGACTATTCTCCAATATTTGTTACTCTAAATTACAGCATATTTAAACTACTAAATCCTCCAAGACTGAGTAACAAGTATACAAACTGGAAATACTTCAGAGAATGCCTTGATCAAGGAAAATGAGTCTGAAATCCAAAGAGGAACTGAAAGACTGCAAAGCTTATCACTTCTACACAAAACGCTGCCTGGAGTGCTGCACCTACCACAGAAACGAGCAACTTAAAGCACGATTATCCTGCAAACATCAGAAGGGCGGTTACGGAGAAGAGGATGCTGCATAAAGAATGCCAACGTACCAGAGATCCATCTGACAAAAACCTATTGAACAGAGCAATAAAACAGCAGAAGGAAATGCTTGAAAAACAACAGAAAAATTTCATAATTATCCGAGTAGTCTATCACCTTTTGCAGTCTCCAAGTATTCCTTGTGGAGAGCAACAAAAAACCTGAAGCAGACAAAACAACGGGAGTCGCCACTCCGCAGATCAGACGGCACTTGGGCAAGATCTGATAAGGACAAGGCCGAATTGGCTGACCAGCTGTCCAGCGTCTTCAAATTTGAGCTCGACGATGCGGTCGAGGATGAAATTCAGCAACACTTTGCTTCACCATGCCAAATGTCACTCCCAATAACTCGTTTCAAGGTTAAAGAAGTGGTGGTCATATTAACACTGGTCTTAGGGTACTGACTATGATCTTTAATGCAATTCTGCGACTTGGATGCTTCCCGGACCAGTGAAAGGTTGCCCAGATTATACTAATTCCTAAACCTGGAAAACCAACTGAAATGCCTACCTCCTAGAGACCCATCAGTCTCCTGCCGATTATGTCGAAACTTTTTGAAAAACTGCTGCTACTTAGACTGAGGCCCTGGCTGATGGAAAATAATATCATTCCGAATCCCCAATTTGGCTTTCTCGAGCAGCATGGTACCGTTGAACAGATACACAGGGTAGTAGACGTGATTGGTAGAAGCTTGGAGGAGAAAACTACTGCTCCGCCGCTTTTTTTGACATCTCTCTGGCCTTTGACAGAGTGTGGTATGAAGGACTGCTCTACAAACTGAAAAGATGCCAAGCCCATACTTCGACATATTTCACTCATATCTAACGGGAAGGCACTTTCAGGTAAAGCTGAAGCAGGAGTTAACTTCGTTACGACCCATTTTCTCCGGTGTACCTCACGGTAGTGTTTCGGGGCCCTGTGCATGTGACATTTACAATGCGCCGACAGACGTGCCCACCGGTTGCTCTCAACAACAACCCACTACCACAAGCTGATGAAGCCAAGTACCTAGGTATGCACATGGACCTTCGCCTCACCTGGAGGAACCACATAAAGGCTAAAAGGAAACAACTGGCACTTCAGGTTGAAAAATTATACTGGATTTGGCAGAAATTCGGACATCTCAATTGAAAACAAGGTACTGATATATAAAGCTATTATTAAACCCATTTGGACATACGTCATTCAATTATGGGGGTCTGGATGTAACGCTACTATCGATGTGATCCAGAGGTTCCAAAGACACTGAGAATGGTCACCAGGTGGTATATCAACACCGGCTGGATATTTACCCAAACCCCCTTGCTGTGGAGCTGACAGAGAACCATCGCCGAAGATTGAAGCGTTTCAAGCAACAAGACTTACCAAAGAAAGTGGTATAAATCCTCTAGAAGGTAAAAAAACGATTATTTTGTTTAAGATTTTTAATAATTATCATTGCATAATATAATTTAACAGTATTATAATGTTAAAAACATCACACGAATTGACAATATTCGATATATGGACTTATACCACTTTATAAAATAACGGTTCATTTATTAATTGATTACTTACAGTAAATTTAGTTTATATTATACAAATTAAGCATATTTTTGAAATCCAGAAACGTAAAATAAATATGTTCTTTAAGTCTGGTGTAAAATCTTAGTACAGCAATTCCTCGCATAGTACTGGGGTGATATTGCTGTATGTTGCATAAGTTAGTTAATATTTTCGTATCTTTAAAAACTCAATATAAATTGGAATATCAAATATAAGAATATCGAATAGAAATCATATTCAGTGGAACTTCGCCTAACGACGATAATGCGTTCCAAAATTTCCAGACTTTTACTCGAATAGTGAACATTTTTTCCCCATATAAACTAATGTAAAATACGATAAAATGGAACGCATCATTTTATCTTACAATTTATTTTACTCGTTAAGCGAGGTTCCACTGTATTTGGTACTTGAAATGTAACAAACCATATTTTTATGGTATCAATTCAATTGTGAAGCAAATATATAACAGCTGTTTTTTTACATATATTTAAACTACTAAAATAATTATTTAAGTAATAAATAATATTATAAAAAAGGTAGTTTGGAACATATATTTAATCTAAAAATAAACACTTACCAGTAGCTATATCAAAAGTATCCCAAAAATTCACTCTAAACATTTGAATATTTTGACATTGTTCTATAAAAGGTTGTTTCAAAGGTTGCTTGTGATTCCTGTATTAAAATAATGAAAATAAAAAAAAATCACGTCCGATTCAATAAGAAATTGTCTATTTCTGATTTTATATATTTAAACACAATAACAATTATTTCATACAAATATAATGTACATCCTCAAATTACAACTCTACTCTTTACAATAAATAGCCCTTTTTGCCATTAACATGTTTATTTTGCTCTTCAAATAAAAAAATTTCATCGTGTCTTAGAAATCAAATCAGTTCGTAATAAAAAAAATATCAGTTACAAATGATTCATTTAAAATCAAATATATAGTTTTTTTTATGAATAATATAGTTGATTATTGTTGAGAGTATATTAAATCAGTGATTTCTAATATGCATCTCAGTGTATTCACTATACAAAAATAGTTTTATGATTATAAATAAATTTACATTATGATCAAAAGTTATTGTTTGACGTACAAAAAGTAGCTTTAGATACATGCATCTCTTTCGAAATTTACAAATTAGGCAAGAACCTGACAATTAGCAATTATACAAAATTAATCTAATAGTGTTTTACAAAATAGTCGGTGATGAGTCTTCTAATAGACTATAAAAATAAAAAGTACATCTAAATTGGAATTATGTACTTAATCCAATTAAGACATTAGATAAATCTTGTATTAAAGTATTATTCTAATTGGGTCTGGAATGTGAATTATCTAAGGGCTTCCATTCTATAAATATATTTGAAATATCAAAATAGTTCAGGCAACCAGAAAAGCTAGACTTCACTGAAATCACCTATGTAAAAACACCGCGCATGATTAAATATTGTAAGAAAACTGTTCACGGATGTATTTAAAATTCTACACGGATTCGCGATATATATATAAAAAGAACAAACTAATTTTCTTTAATTTAATTGTACAGAAAGCTATGTGAAAAATGAATCCTTGAAAATAAATACAAACGTTAATTCAGAACGATGACTTTCTTTTAATGTTAAATTTAAGACATCACGTCGACAATTTTACATTCAAAGAAAACACGTGGATTCGCAGAGATTTATAAATTCAGATGAAAAACAACATGGGGAATTCTTGCAATAAACATACATTTTATTGTTGTATGATAAAAATACATTTGTTTGGGCTATTGTTTACTTGTGTTGAGGTATATGCTGAGTTCAAGTAATTGGTCTATTGTTAGTTTTTGTTACCAAAAAATAAAAATAAAAGAGAGAAATCAAAAGAGCAAAATAGAACATGTAAATTATGAACACAACATGTTAGAGCACTGTACAGTGTTTGCTGTATAGCAAGGAACCAACGATTGCTTCGTTTCTAAATACCGAACGAAAAGGAAAAAACATTCATATAATATATTTAAAACATGATTTACACAAATAATTTCAATAGCCATATACACGTACCTATCTACGCTTTGCCAATTTCCTTGCTATACTCGAGCCAAAAAAAAAAACAATAATAAAGTAAACATCGTAAAATCTTTTTTTTTTGCGGAGAAGTCCAAAAAAAATTCGTCAAATCAAATTCCTCTTTTCCTTTTTTTTAAACAATAATATAAATTTTGTTATCTACAATTCTATCAACATAAATAAGGATTTATTTCAATTTCCATCATTTTCATATAATGTTTATCTAAATATATATTAAACGAAAAAACATTGATTTTACACAAAGGTACCTAATACATATGTATATATATAATGTTTATATATATACTTTCATTAATTCATTTTTTTTGCACATGCAAAATTGGAGCAAATTTGTGTAGGCAACATTCAGATGCTTTTTAAATTCTTCGTACTAGATATATATATACTTTTTTTTCATCATATTTATAGTATTTGCTTTTTTCCATTTATATATATATATATAATTACAAATATATAAGACAATATACATTTGTTTACTTATAGTCCATGTTTAGCAAAAGTGCCAAAAAAACAACGTGTTTATTTCATAACTTGAGCTCATTAAAAATATAATCTGTATCTACAATATGTTCGTGTGGCTTCGCAAGGAAGTTATGAAAGAGCCTAGTTTTTTTTGCCATTTTGCTAAATCTTTGTTGAATTACAAAAAAAAACGAAAGAAAAATCTAGCCTGCTAAATATTAAATAACAAATGAAATTAATGAAATACAAAAAAAAATATTATAATTGTATATAGAAGAGAAATACGGTGCACTGTGTCCTGATAGTCCAATTTTCGGAACATCTTCATTTTTCGTAAATATATTTACACCATTTTCTAGTATAGAATCCAATAATAAAAAACAATGCGGGCATACTTAAGTATTTTGTCAGCAGCGTAAACTATAAATATATATATATAAGTTTGTGTCAATATATATATTGTATATGTTGAGCTTGTAATAATGAAATTTAATTTAAAATATTTACATTAGTTATATTTTAAATAAGCAAATCAGGAGAAAAATAAAGACGTACATAATCGCTGTTGTCATGGAGATCATGAACTGAACCTTACGCACTATTTACCTCAGATCACCTAGAACTTGATTTCTTCACCTCCGAACCAATCAATTCTTCCTCTGTTTCTCTCATGTGACAGTTTTATAAGCACAAAATGTTTATTATAAATAATTATCACATTTCTTTATATAATCAATAAAACTAAAGAATTGTCCAATTTTACTTATTTTTCTTTTCTTCTTTTTCCTTCTGTTCGTTCCTTTAATTCATCTACATATGAATCACTTTTGCTCTAATATTTGAGTATTAACTTGCACTTTTGAGTCCTGTACGCGTCTAATAAATTACTTCGTAGACAGTGGCTTTCTTATCACCGGATCCTGTCACGATATATTTGTCATCCGCCGAGATATCGCAGCTGAGGACACTGGATGATTCCTTCGACTGTGAAAATAGAATATAATTAGTCAATGCGTTTGTACTTAGGTAATTTGTTGATGGTCGTATAGTTACCTGGAATATGCTAGCACCGTACGGTGTCCTCCAGGCGTTCAGCAAATTATCTTTGCCCGTTGAAACGAACCACTTGCCGCATGCGGCAAACCTTAGACTAAGAACACAGCTCTCGTGCAAGTGCAATTGGTATTTGTCCGGCTTCGAGGCGTGAAGAACCTCAACGTTAGAGTTCTCCATTCCAACGGCCAACCATTCCCCGGTTGGACAGTATCCCAGTGAGAATATTTGCGAGTTGAAGTCGTGCTGCTGGAGCTGCCTTCCTTCTCGCAGATCCCAACTCCTCACTGTATTGTCCAATCCACCCGTCCACAGTTTCGTGCCGTCTGCGGAAATGTCAATGCAGGAGGCACCATCCGTATGGCCTTGGAATTGTCGCACTAGTGTTTGGTTGTGCAGGTCCCAGACTGCGATGTTTCCGTCGGAACAGCAGCTGAAGCACACCTTAGAGTCCGGACTAATTGCTAATGCATAACACGCCGGTGCACTTGACGTCAATTCGGCCTTAATCCGTGGCGTCGGACTTGCCAAGTCCCAAATTGATAGATTACTCGCTTCGCCGCCCACAATCAGCGTTCTTCCGTCCGGCAATAGCTTTACAGATCTGATATAATTATCTCGTTGCTGCAAACGAAAACAGAACATGACGTTAAATTGGAATCGAGGAATTTCAGTACAACACTGACACTTACAAATTATTAACGTTACCATTAAAGAATGATATAATTACATAATACGCTTAATGAATACACTTGTTTTCATCAGTTTCAAGGACTAATATAAAACTAAAATTTTAAAAGAAAATAGAGAAACTGGTACCAGTGTTTATATGGATAAATACAAGTCAATGTAAAACACAGCATTAAATTTATAAATAATAAGAAATAATAAACATATTAAAGTATCATACAAAAAAATGTTTAAATAGTAATTAAGTTGTCAAATAAAAATTATTAAACTAATTTCGAGAAAATAAATGCTCTCGGAATAATGAAGAGTAAAATTACTATTACAAGATACTATGATCATTTATAGAATCAGTTATGCTAATAGATGATAGATGTTTCAACTATTTTTAAACATTTAGAAAAGAGATTAATTTTGTAAATTGTAATTAGATTACTTTGTAATAAAGTAGCATTTAGATTTAAAAGAAATAATTAGCATGAATAAACGATCGAAGGATGATGGAATTACATGAAACGCTTAAAGAGTACAGCAGTAAACTAGTTTTACGCCCGTATAAATGAGAAATAAAGAACTCTGACAAGTCGAGCGTATTTTCGAGAAAATAATGACTCTCAGCTCACGAGTGGGGAAAAAACTGGTGCCAGCAAAAAAAAGAGAGACCGTGTCTTATAGACTATGGTGGTTTAAGGAAGCAGTTACTTTAATGGATGAGGTTAGAGGCAACTTTTTTATTCTTCTTCTTAAATATTTCATAAAGATATTATAATTTAATAATTAACCAAACGAAGAAGTTATCATATTAATTGTTTTCAAAATTTTAATAAAGATAGCAAATCAAATGAAGTGATTGAAATAGTATAAATTATGAATATAGAGTAAATTTTTACTATGTTTATCACAATTATCATTTTTTTAGTTGCTTCATTTTAATTGTGTTATCTTGTCATGAAAATTTATTTATTAATATCTTTGTATGGAAAGCTATAATTTTGAATGAAAATTACATTGAAGTACTTTGTTCATGTTCAGTAGTTTTCAATATAAATTTAACAGCTCTTCAGAAGATCATTTAAGATCGACATTGATAATAATTGTCTGAACTTTAAGACCCCTCATTCTTTATTGGCCGTATAAAATAGTTGCCATTTTAAGACCAACAAAAGGGTCATAAGTGCAGCCGCAAAGGAGGCAAAGATCTACAAAAGATAGCAATGCTTACCAAGCAATCCAATTGAGAGACTGGACTCTTTGATCCAGGTTGACTGATGTCCCAAACTTTAACACATCCTTTGCCACCCGTGTACACGTATTTAGTCGGATTCGAAATAGTCACGGCGCAGACTACTTCACCATGGCTTAAGGTATTTATTTGTCTCGCATGTCTTGGTATACCCGGACCAATCAATGCGTCCGGCGGAAAGGGCACTGGCTGCATCTGTCCATCGGCGCTCACGTGAAAAGAATAAGCTCTAAAAAAGAAAATAGAGAAACAATTAATACCTTGAATCAATTAAACTCCTCGATGAACTTACGGCTTCCCTCCAGGAATCCCAATGCCGGGCACGACGGGTGCCCTCATCTGTGAATGTGAATCGTAACCCACTTGAAGTGGTGGCCTAGGATAATTGTTCAACGTCGGAGGAAGATTATTGTGCATCACCCCATAGGCCCCAGCGGCTGCTGCGGCAGCTTGCAAATCATGCGGACCACCGCCTAGAAGACAAGAAAAGAAAAACAAACCGATAACTTTATTGTATGTACGTACTACACCGAAAGCAACCAACCGACGAGCAACAAGTTCAACAACAAGCTACAGAGGCGGCAGGTTTTAATTAACTGCCGCACACTATTGTTCGGCAACGAAACAAAAACACATTAATTAAAAGTGCATTGTTACATTACAAGCCCTGCGGACATTTTCATCGTTCGAGAATACATGAATGATCATCGAGCCTTACCATTTGACATTCCCGCTAGGTATGGGTATTGTCCGAGTGGAGGCGGTTTTACCACTGGCTTCAATCCGCTACCTCCAGGAGCTGCTCCCGCAGCTGACGTCGGCGTTACTGGTTTAGAGATGGGTGTTGAAGGTTTATCCGCATCTAATTTCTTCGCGGATGGCGTTGAAGCATTGCTGGATGTTCCAGATCTGGGGCTGTGGGGTCCTGGATGTTCCTTTTTCGACATCTTATCGATACCATTCTCGCGAGGAGATGCAGTTCCGTTGGGTGGTGAGACTGGATCTTCTGAGGCGTCATCAACCACCAAATCCTGATCGCTCTTCTCGCCATCGCTGTGCTGTAAAAAGATAAAAATAGTGTTTAGTAAGGTTTGTCTGTTTTGAAAAACCAGTTATCCATTTTTTATAAATTTGTAACTGGTATTGAACACTGATAATATTATTAATATATAAGAAAAATATTATATAAGGTAATTTTGAATCTACACAAAATTTATTTTGTTTTTATTTAATTATTAAATTATCAAATATGCAAATTTGTATATAGTTTTTTTAATTAATATATGGATCTATTGGTCCTTTATCATCCAAAGTATTGTATTTTATCATATTTTTGTAGTACTATGAATATACTGATATAAAACTGATTTTTTTTAAATATTTGAATTGAAAACCGGTTTTTGTATAAACTCTAGACTGAATCATATAAAATTTCAGATTTCAGAGCAAGATCTCAACTGGGAGAGATGAGGCAACAAATAGTAATAATAACGAAAGGAGAGAAAGAAGTAATAATAAAAAAAGGAAACAATCATCCGCAAACATGCCATAAAAATGTAAAGTGTTATTGCCGCCATGGGTAATATTTGTACGATAATTATAACTGTGCCCCGAGTGGAATAACCATTTGTATGCAGCCGTAAATGAGAACAAAGGGTGATTTGCAGTAGTAGTCACGTATCGAGAAGTCAAAGAGACGCCGTTGCCTACCATTATATGGTAAATAGACCTCGGCGATGTCACATTATGTTCGAAGAGGCTTAGAGCAGAGCGCACATCATCCCATCGCGCAAATAGAAAACGACAACAAATTTTTCGAACACATAACTCTAATTACGGAGCTTATAAATTATTTATAATCATGGTTCCTTTATCTCGGACGTATCGCAAATCAGTTGCATGTTCATGCCCTGTCTCTACACTCGCACTCATATTTATTACACGAACGTGGTTCGCCTTTTTATACTTATTATTATTGTTGTTGTTGCAGGTTCTAAACGTGTTCCGAAGCGGCCGATTCCCGCAGAGCCGGACGATATTTACATACGGTTTAGGTTATATAATCTTCGTTTTTTGTATTTTTTCTGCTTTTCTTTTTTCGCGTAAATAAAATATGAAGAGTGTTTATAAAAATGATGCGATGCTTCCTTTTCATTTCTTATTTATATTTTTATTTTAGAGTGCGAAGTGTAAAGAATTTAATTTAAAAAGTTAGGAACGCTCGGTTCGGAGATGGAATCAAAAGAGAAATGCCATTAAAGAAAGTTAATTACGTGGTATGTATTTGACGGCGGCAAGTAACTCGAGGAGGGGCAGGGAAGAGGAGGAAGAAGGAAGGACGAGTAAAGTTTTTAGAGTCAATTAATTGAAACAATAAAGTGCACGGTGGTGCCTTTTTCCTCGTCCCTCCACTACACTTCTTCGAGACTACTACCCTTCCGGCGCGACATTTTATATTATAATAAAACTGCCGTCTCGCGAAATGTTTATTGCGCGTTACGTTTACGGCTCAAGCTGTGTGAAGTTGCGCGCCTGCATAAAATGCTTTATAGGGCAACAAAAAAAAAAGAAGTAGAGGAAGAAGTTTAGTCGCCCGCGCACTCGGGGCTTTGAAGCACTACAGAATATATTAGTTAGTTAGTTTTTATAAAAAAAAAATATAATTTGCAGAACATAATTGAATTATATAAACCGGTTATATATATTTTGCAAATACCGATTTTTAAGTTGGGTTTCTTAATTAATAAAGTTTATAAATTTGATTTTGAATAAACCCTCTCGTATTAGTAAAGATGTTAGTGCTTACGTACTTTAATACTTACGTGGCCAAGATCTTTTTCTTCTTTCTTCACCTTCTTGTGATCCGGCTCCTGTGGCGTTCTCGGTCTGTACTTCTCTCGCTCAGCTGGTGATATGGAGTTCCTCTGTGGAAGAAACAAGCAGAGCTCTAATTAATTAAAACTGTTCGGCATCCCCCCTGCGCCATCGGCGGCATCTTGGTGCACAAATAAAACGACGGCAATCTAATAAAACGGAGCCGCTCATTTAATCTGGAATTTCAGGAGAGTGACATTAAAGTAACCGAGAATCCGACTCGTGAATGTACTGTTAATAATCCAGTAAATGAGGCGACCGTCGCGATGAAATAGGTCATGGAAGCCACGGAGTTTTACAACCCCTCGCCGGCTGTTCCGGGCAATTTCTCCGCTACTCCAACTCGATGAAGCTTTTATTTCCCCCGGGGAATTCGTTCACGTCAGAAATGGGACTAAACCTTAACGCGTGTAAAACCCACACACCACCCAACCCCTCAACATCCGCTCAACCCGATCTCATATACAGTGTGTTCACACAAAACTTAAAAAAGTAAAGTACAGTTTCCAAATTTAGAGCAGCGCCTAAGTTGGACCATTATCGTATTATATAAAAACGTACGCTATATCTTCAAAAACCTACTTGAAATTAAAATCAAATTAAAACAATGATGAATCAAGTTGTCAATGATATAATCTTCAATTTGAAAACAAAAATTGTTTCAAACAAAATTAGCGATAACTACTTAATAAAGATTTAATTATTACAATAAGAATAATGTAATTGTAATATTTGAATGAAAATGTAAATGTATATTTTAAATTATTACCTTAATTAGTTGTTTTGCATTAAAATACATGTATAAATTTGTCAGAAACAATCGAATGTAATTTACCGTCGAACAAATTCAATTACGAAGTTTAAATGGTGATCGAGCAGCGACGACGAGGAGAAAATCAAATGCGGAAGTTGCGAAGAATTCGCGTAATTTATGTAATGAGTTTAAATTTTAATTTAAATTGTTTCGGATGAGCCGTGTATAGCTCTATTAGGGTGAGACCGCAAAGTCCCGCACTCTAGTTTCTGTTTGTTTCGACCACTTAGTGGATTACGGGGTTGTGTACTGTGCGGCGGCGGAGTGGTTTAAGCATGTCCTTCTTAATTATCGCTGCAGAAATGCTACACCAAATTACATTTGCATTCAAAGCCACCGCCGCCGTCGGTCAGCAGACCGCCCCCTCGCCATTCTCCTGCATACCAAGATTTAATTACTTATTGCTTTGCATTTTTGGAAGGCGGCAGCGCATAAACTCTACACAAAATAGGGTTGCGTATTCTTCTTTTTTGTGGAATGGTTTGGGAACGTTTACACGCAATAAAGTTTAATTCCTTTTCTGCAAAACATGTAAAATACATATTACATTACATTACAAGTCTTTAAAATATTCTTTTCCTTTATAAATTTAGTATTGAAAAATTGTCTAATTTTGGACCACCAATTTTTTTTCTTATTCTAGATTATTCTCGAATCATTAAAAATTAATGTGTTTGACATTATATTTTTAGCGTCTGTCTTAGCCATTATAATAAAAAATGATTTGAAATTAAAAGAAAAAACTCTGTTAAATCATTAAGTAATTAAAAGGAAAAGTTGCCTAAAATAATGAATAAATCAGAAATTCAATAAAATTGTAAATGTTGTAAACATTAAAGTGATTAAATAAATATTGACTTAAAAGTATGTATGTTAATTATATGGTGTCTGTATATGATAATATCGTTGATGCGTGGGGGAGTAACTGCGAATTTATTAATAAAGTGTGGTGGCGGCTGCTGCGGGGATGGCAGAATTATTGCGAACGGTTGATTACACACGCGATTTATACAATTCCAAAATATTATTTCCCCCGATTAGGATCCGGATTAAGCGGGGGGATTTTGGAGCGGTTGGATCTCGTCGGCGTTTGGGGGTGCGCAATAATTACGATGATGATGATGATTATTATTTTGGGATCCGGTGAGCCACACCCGATGGGGTGACAAGATATGCCCGACGGGCAATCAAATTCGGCTCCCCTACTAATACTGCACACAAGCAGCAAACACATGCGAACAACATGAATAAAAACAAAAAATAAATAAATTTTACGTAAAAGCAAAAATACCGCAACTGCAAACCGGAAAAGCCATTGTGCTCCACCCGGGCGGAAATGTTTAATAGATAGGAGGATACAAAACTGCGCGAGCCGGCGAGCTCTAGCTGTAATGCATTAAACATTTAGCGCGATTACTTTCAACTGCAGGTAGGGGTATCAGAGCCACCATCCCCTTCATGATGGGGTGGCTTCAGCAACGGTGGGGATCGTATGAATTCAGTAAACTTTATAGTCGACAATATACAATGGCGCGCAACACATATAATAACTTTATTGTTCTGTGTTGTCGCCTCTCGCCCCCTACCAAAGCTCGTTCCGCTCACACGCCATCTCTTGGGGATAACCCAAACAAAGCGCGTTAAAAAGAAAAAAATAGCACCACGCAAATCTCCCGCATTCCCCGACGTAATTTTTGTTCAATAAAGCACCCTTTTAAACAAATTAAATGTCTGGAGAGGGAACGGGAGAAAAATTGAGTAAAACAATACCAATCCGCAGAATGGACGGAGAGGCCCCTGGTGCTCGTGGCAGAAGAAATTGATTAGGCGCGATTTATTAAACAACGAAATTTTAATTAATTCGCGTCAAGTACAGATAATTATTTCGTGTTCTTAGCGATTCCATTTTCGTTCGCACATATATATATATATGATTTGTTTTGTGCGTTTTTTTTCCTGCTGGAGGGTATGAATGTAGTGCCCCAGAGGGTTGTTTTTTTTGTTCGCTTCTCTCGTTTCTCTCCCGTTCCACCCTTCTTTATTTGGCCGTGCGCATTGAGGGTTAGAGGGAAATAAAGAGGAGCATTAAGCGCGGCTGACAGCCGGCGGGGGCGGTCGGAGAGGGGACGTTAAATGGATTAGATACAGACAGGGGGAATGGAAAAATATTACACGACTTGCAATGATAAAAAGGTGCCAGTTTAATCCCGGGAAAAAGAGAGAGAAATCGTTGGGAGGAAATGGATGGAACGGGGGAGCGAACCCCAACCGAGGGGCGGATTTTATTTATGTCCGTGCTGCATCGTACAGTGTGTAGCAGCAACATCCGCGCATTCTGTCCTTGTTTGCCAGCGAGGATTATCGGATTAATTTATTAAATATTGCTTTGTATTATGATTCACTATACACATTTACCTCGCAATTACTTCCGCATCGACCGCGCCGCCGTTCATTATTAAAACCAATTCGCAACTCGTTTTCCAAACATCCCTCTCTACCTCCGCTCCTAAACACCACGAATTATTAAAAGATGAGTCCGCATTTAACCGCAAACTTTACACGTCTACCGTCCAATTTGTAACCCCAGAGTTGATTACGTAATTTACCAAAGTAATCAAAATAATTTTAGTTCAATTGTTGAAAACAATGCCCATTAATAATATGCTGATATAAAATGATTGATTTTACAGATATTTTGTTTTTGATTAAATGACATGAATCAATTATACTGTTAGTGAAGAGTGACCTGATTTTATAATGGGTAGTTGTGTGTGTGGGAGGGTGAGATTGGTAATAATATAAATTAATGTGTTAACATTGCGGAACAGGCGGCAGTTATCTAGGCAAGGACATATGATTAGTTATTATAGGGGGACAAGCGTCGCCATTAAGCAACAACATATTGTCCATTATTGGTGTGAGAGTCACTTAGGGGGTAAAAAATATTCCCCCGAGGGTGTCGCCCGGTTTTCGTTCCCCTGCGCTGGATTTTTATTGGTAAGGGGAGCGATAACAAAGAGGATGAGAGAGTGAGCTGAAAAAGAGAAGTTCGGGGTGGAGAAGCGCAGAACCCCTCATTTCAGAATCACTTCATACACAAAAGATTATTTGCACCTTCCTGGAGCAGACGACGTGACGGTAAACTGGGTGGGAACGCGGTCGAAGTAGCAGCGGCAGCAGCAGCAGCGGCAGCAGCATTCGACAGAGAATGTGTTCAGGCGGCGGGGGGCGGCTGCGCTCAAGGGGGTTGGCGGAAGCAGGAGACTGAGAGTGGAAGAGCGGAGGCGGCGGTTATCGATGGGGTGGGCACGAGGAAGGGCGCTCCGGGTAATTGAGAGAGATTAAGAGATCGGGCGCACCGCATAAACACGGCGTCTCTCCTGCACAAATCAGTTTTCAATTTGGGATCATTGAATAATTAATATTGACTCGACGGTGGCGGCGGCGTCTCCATAACCATTAGCCGCCTCTTTAATACGCTACCCTGCTAATTGAGATACGCGCACCGATGTCGCGATCTGTATCACTTTATTATCATCGTCTTCGACATTCAAGCAAACCCCCAAAACCTACCCTCAAACATCCCCAACTTTATTGTTATTATTTTACTTGACATCCTCCAACCAATAACACATGATTTCAACGTTCTTGGCAGCATTCCTAAACGCTCCCCAAGATTTGGCTTTTTTTCTGCTTGGATTGCCGCCAGAATGTAATAAAATATGAAGCCGTTTCCTATATTGATAGCGCCTCATATTATCCTCAAAGGCATAACAAAAAATATATATGACGTTCCTTTTCTCTCGGATTTCTATTTTAATCATCCTTTATAACATAATTTATACAACAGTTTGTAGTGTTATGCACACTATTATAAATATATTTACAATGCATTACTTATTCGTCTAATTGTGTCAAGTAAACATGAGTTTAACTGTTTTCATAAGTGACCTTTAACAAAAATATACACATAAATATGTGATCTTCGTTTTATGTCAACTATTCCAATTTTCGACAAGAAATGAATAATGTTGGTATATACAATTTCTTATTGTCCACACGAACGTACTTGATACTCATATGAGCGTACAATTTACTGTACCATTCACTATAATTAACTACTCTATAGATATTACGATCAATACCATAACCACTATAGTATATCTCAATTGAATAGTAATAATAGTACTTAATCTAGGGATGTAATAAATTTGTAATGATTGATTTTGTCGAATC